ACTCTAGCTCGTTATTGTATCTGCCCCTTCATTTATTTGTCACGCCTTCTCTGCAAAGGCCATATATCATTCGAAGAATTCTATGTTCCCACACCAGCAATTTATTTTCTTCTCCTTTTGTTAGCGTCCATGTTTCGCTTCCATACGCGACTGCTTTTTTTTTTGAACCTATTCTCTATCCTTCCATTGTTGGATATAGGTCTCCCCCAGTTCTCTCCATCTTTCCCTATCTTGAGCTGTTCTCTGCCATGTGGGACCTCCTTGTTTCCTGATGTCATCTTTCCACCTCATCTGTGGTCGACGTATTAGGGGTAAATTACCATAAATTAATTAAATATTTACACACCCATTATACCCATATACCCATTAAACACTGAAATCAATTCAAATTTGAAAACAGTTTAGAAATTATCTTCCGATCTGCAAATTGAAACTAAGAGAAATATTACAACTATTTTAAAATGTTCACATGATATGTCAAAATATCAAAATCATAAGAAAATGATATGACATATAAAATAACTTTAATAAAAGGGAAGACATTTTCTTTTATTTCGATATACTCTTTCTAGAAACCAATTCGCCAAGGATTTTTGCTTAGTTGGGGAGATATGCTGTGGAATGCAATTTAAAATTTTCCATGTCTCTAATTACATCTTTATCAACGTCTGTTTTGCCTTGCAATTCTTAGAAGGCAGAGATTAAAGCAAAAATCTGAATTGGGTTTCGACCATTAGAAATCGGATTTCGAGTTTCGGGTTAATTTTAATAACTAATTTTTATCCAAAAAGTAGTGCTGGACAAAAATAGAAGTAAAAAGAAGAAATTCCTATTAGAAATTATTTCATACCTTTCATATAATACATAATATGTAATTAGGAAAAGTAGACATTCCTAACTCCAGACTTTTAAATAAATAAATACCAACCGTCTTTAACTCGTTTGTAAGAAATGTCGTGATAGAACCTTTTAATTTATTTTTCTTTTTTCCTTGAATTTTTTCAATCAATATAACAATGTCAATGTCATTTCCAAGTGAAAATCTTAACCTTCATATAGGTGGATGGTGACTTACTGATTTATTACGGGTAATAGATTCGAAATAAGTATTTAAAAGAAAAATCCTTCTTGGTATTGTAAATATATTGATCGGTCTTTAAACATGCCTTAAAGGTGGCTAAAACTTAAAATAAAATATACAATAAAACAATACTTTCATACATTTGTTAATAATAATGTAAAACGGGAACATTGAAACCAACGTATCAATCGGAAATAATATTGAGACATTTTCATTTTAATTTATTTATACACATAAAACAATGGTTAACTCCGGAGAAACTGTTACTCTTTGTGTTATCTTTACTACATCTTTTCTAAACTGTCTAACATTCGACTGCACACATCATAGCTGATCACAATTTAACATTCATAATTTAAAATTCCATAATTACTTTTTATTTTGTTCAACCAACATAGAAATCTAATGTTACTCGGTTGTCAGCACTGTTAATGAATTGTAATAACAGCTGTATAGTTCTTTTATTCTAATAAACATAAAGTCACTTTTCAGTGTTTGACTAATACCAGAGAACTACGAACCTAATACGCTGTTAAGTATAACGGTAAAAATACATTTTGTTACATATGTGGTGATTTTGTTATTAAAAAACATCAGAAAAACATTACTTTGGAAAAAAGATAACTTTTGCATATGTTGTTGTGAAAATTGTTAACCAAGACAAAGGCTGGTCTCCTCACAATGGATGTTATGTTTGTGTTGAGAACTTAAAGAAGTGGTCAAAGAAAGATGAAATCATTTCATATTTGCAGTGCCTATGGTGTGGAGCATGGCATACGGCAGCAGCTATTTCATTACAGGATCGGAGCGGTAAAGAAAATCTCTTTACCGGTCTGATACTGAATAATCACAGGCGGTAATTATGATTTCAACGGCTTCGCGCGGATGAGTTGGTAAGTGGGAGGGCATTCTTTTGTCCTGAGATTCAGATATCGATCTCAAAGGCGGATGAACCTAGATCAACAGCGTAAGGATGCAGAAGGCAAGGATCAACCACTGAAGAATATATATATATATATATATATATATATATATATATATATGTGGACTTCTCCAAAAGATAACACCAACAATATAATCAGAAACCAAATAGATTTTATAACGATTAAAAAAAGGTATCGTAATAGAGTACAAAGTGCAAAAACCTATCTAAGCGCAGATGCAGATATGGACCACAATATATTATTAGCAAACGTCAACATTAAACTCAGAAAACCGGAGAAAAAAGTTAAAACCACCAAAATAAACATAAAAAAGACGACAACTGCCAACAGCAACTAAATGCGGAGATAAATAAATTAACTGAAGAAAGCGTTGAATGGGCAGATATGAAAAAAGCCATAGTAAAAGCGTAAAAAGAGGTCCGAGGCGAGGAAAAGAAAACCACTAAAATAAAGGATGACACCGAAATTAGTTGAGCTAATAACTGAAAAAAGAAAATATAAAAATAAAGATGGAAATAAATATAAACCCATCAAAAATAAAATTAAATATGAAATCAGAAAAAGTTAGGAGTAATGGATAAACAAGGAATGCCAGTAACTGGAAGAATTCAGCAACAAACATGACACCTCAAACTTACATAAAAAATTAAAGAACTTACAGGCAACACCAGACAAAGAAGAACAATCAGAACAAGAGAAAATAATGGAGAAATACTTACTGAAGAGATCAAAATAAAGGAAGTATGGAAACAATATATAATCCATCTGTTTCATGACAAGAGGAAAAATGAACAAGATATAGGTGAAGAAGAACAACACCTACAAGTTTGCAATGCATGTCCTACAGAATGCAAAACAAGGAAAAGTACCGGGTCCTGATCAAAATCCAGTTGAACCTTTAAAAGCCTTAGATGACGGTAATATAAAGAGTCTCATCCGAATTCTCAACCACATACATGTAGAGGGCAACATCTCGGAAAAATCGATATTGTTACCTCCACCAAAAACAACAATCCCAAATCATGTAATGACTATAGATTGATAAGCCTAATGTGCCACACTTTAAAGATTCTCTTGAAAATTGTTCAAAACCTTAAAAAAACTTAAAAAAATGTATAAGAAATGTGAGGAGCAGACAGATCAAACGCAGTTTGGCTTCAGAGGAGGCATGGGTACAAGAGAGGCATTATTTGCGTTGACGATACTCTTGCAGAAATGTCGGGAATATAACAAGAGTGCATATGTATGCTTCATAGACTTATGGCGAGAATTAGGAGAGGCCTATATTCGGGCATAAAAAAACTATAGAGATCTTAAAAAAACAACAAAACTCTCCTCCGTTATTAATAATTAAGAACTGTCACTAATGATCTAGCTGGTAATTGAGACCAAAAAATAAAAAAATAATATCCTTGACAAAAAAATTACAAAATAACACACTGTCCTCATGTAATATAAAACACAAAATACAAACAGTTGCATTGTTATATCATTACAATACTAGAGTATTTATTATTAATCACAATAATTTTTTGCTTTTCGTTGAATACAGTTCATTGCATTTTGCAAGGTTAATTTGAAATAGTATAATATATAAATCATAACAAAAAACTTAAAATATATCTTACTTATATCCCAAACCAAACATATTATAAGGTTAGATAAAGAGATGTAATTTGCACTGAAATATGATTTTTACGATATTGGTTTGAAATTGAAAAAAAAAATTAATTAAATACAAGTTGAACTTTATATATATATATATATATATATATATATATATATATATATATATATATATATATATAAAGAATTAAATCTTTTAGCGAAAGCCGCTATCGCATCAAAATTTTGAGAACGATTTCCGAAGTGGAAATTGAAACGTCAATAAACGTATTTTTATCTTTAATTGTGGCTTATTCCCAGTTTAATAGTAATTAATTTTTTCTGTTATTTTTCTCCACTGTTTCCTATCTCTGGTTTTTTCTCTCCATTGTCGTACGCCCGCCCTGTTGAGATCGTTTGTTACTTCTTGTAGCCATGTAGATCTTGGTCTTCCACGTCTTCTTTTACCAGCTGGTGTCCATTCCAATATTGAAAATATTGTCGTAGGTGGTCCTGATCTCCATATATGTCCTAGTCATTTTGCCCTGTGCTGTTTTATTTTACAAACTATATCCTCTTTAATTTCGTTTAGTAGTTCATGATTCGTTTTTTGTTTATATTGATTTTCATTCATTTTTATTGGTCCTAATATTGCTCTTAGTATTTTCCTTTCTAATATTCTAAGGTCTTCCTCTTGTTTTTTTGTCATGCTATGGGTTTCTGCAGCATACATCATAGTTGGTCGAATTATTGTTTTATATATATCTTCATTTTCGATTTGTTACTCAGTAATTTATTTTTTAGAAGTTTTTTATTTGCATAGTATGTCTTATTTGCTGTAATTATCCTTTATTTAATTTCTATTTCCCTTTCTTCATTGTTTGTTAATAATATTGCCAAATACTTAAACTTTTCTACTTCTTCAAATATATATTCTCCCAGTCTAATCTTTTTGTTTTCATATTTTTTTGTCAAATCTCATTATTTTTGTTTTTTCTTGATTTATTACTAAGCCCATTACTTTCCCTTCTGCAACCAATTCTTTTAACATACCTTCCATTTTTTCTGTTCTTTGTTATTATCACAATATCGTCGGCATATGCTATTATTTGTACTAAGTGAACATAGTGACCTCAACTGTACCATACTTTTTTTGTTTCCTCAGGACTAATTGACAAAATCTAATTGTATTCTTTATTTAGTTTTATATTTATGGTACATGTAAAATCGACCATTGCTAATAATCCTTGTAGTTGAAGCAGTTTTAAATAAAAAAAAAATTGCATTGATTTTAGCGAAGGGCGCAATATACACCTTTTATGGTTCAAAAACAGCACAACAGTTTTATCAGTTTGAAAATGTTTTTCCAGACTTATTTCTAATACAAGATGATGTCAAAAACGCAGTGGTTTGTTCTCCTTTGTCTGTTCATTCTGTATTTGCTCTTAGGAGCATCTATCTTTTACTACGTCGAATCTCAAGAAGAACTTATAAAATTTAAGTCTGAAGTTAGGGAAAGGCGAAGAATTGAAGGTCAGTATTTTTAAATAATCTATCTACTTGTAGATTTTCATTAAGATTAATATACTTTTTGAACGATATAATATATTTTTTTATTATATGTACGCTGTATATGAGATTTTATTATAATACCTACGTGCATACCCTGCCAACTTTGTCATCATCATCATCATTTGGCTCTACAACTCTATGTCTTGGCAGTGTTTACTATTTTCCTCGATTGTTGTCGGTCCTGAGTAGCTATTTCCTATTGCTGTATTTTCATTTTGCGTAGAACACTTGCTATTGCGCCCGTCCATCTCTTTCTTGGGCGACCAACTGACCGTCTGCCATCAGGCCTTTCCGGGATGTGGCGTTCAGGAGTCTTTCGTCGCCCGATCTTAGCACGTGACCCATCTTATTCGGTTTGCTTTAATGTAGCGTACTATGTTTTTATCTCCATATACTGTCTGAAGTTCATCATTGTGTCTTCTTCTTCATTTTCCCGTTGTCTCTTCTCTGCAAGACCCATAGATAGTCCGCAGTATCTTCCTTTTCAGTACCAATAACTTTGTCGTTTCTGGCTGCCCCATCCTTTTCATATTTATTTTCAGATGTTATTATCGCTTCCAGGTACTTGAATTCTTTGACGATTTCAAAGTTGTATTCATTGATTGTTACGTTTTGTCTAACCCTTGGACTTAGAGTTTTTGGTAACCACCATGTACTTGGTCTTGTCCTCGTTGACCTTCAGACTAACTGCCTTGTCTTTGTTTTCGAATAGTGTGAAAAATTATTTTGCATCTCTGGTGGATTGTGCAAGTGTGTCCACGTCATCCGCAAACGCCAATAGTATTTTTGATCCTTGGGCGACAAATCTGTTTGTCAGTTGTGGTTGAGCTTTACTTATCGCATGTTTCAGTGGAAAATTAAATAGCAGGGAGGCGAGAGGATCTTGTCTAAGCGCGGTGTCAATGAGGAATTCCTCTGACGTGATGCTGCCAATTCTGATCCGTGTGGAAGCGTTCTCTGTGCTCACCTATGCTAATCGTACCAACTTTTTAGGTACTCCCATTTCTACCATGGTCTCCCACAATGCTTCTTTGCTAACAGAATCGTAAGCTTGTTTAAAGTCCACGAAGATTTGGTGTACATCGCGGTAAAATTCCCACTTTGTACTTCCCTAGAATTAAATAATGTGTCAAGCTCATAAACTACAAATTAACAGCCAATCAAAAGAAATTACTATCCAATTATGCATAAAATAAGTTGAACCAATTTAATGCTTTGTGATAGGCAATATTTTTGTTTTTTTATGGTGCATAAATATACAATGACTATGGTTTTCCGACGTCTAAACAATTGTCCATGCGCTAAACAAGGATACTTACAAAAAAGTTTTAACTGTTGAAAATTCGTCAAAAAACTTTAGACGCTTAAAATCAAATGAAGAATTGACGGGAAAAACGATGAATGTCGCAGATTTCATAATTTGCTCTAAGGCATTTTTAAAGTTATACTTCTACACGCGCGTTCGACGTTGCTTTGTACGGGAGTGAATCGCCAAAATCATTACATATGTAAGATATAGATAAGAGAGAGACAGAAGCTATATTTTTTCTCTTGAGAATAATTTTAATTTAAAAATATATAACAAGATGGTAGATGTATACATTTGGCCAAAGTCTTTGACAAATAAAATTTCTTCCTGAAACTTCTATTATTCGTAATAACCTTTTCATTTTGGGAATACAATAAATAAATAAATACAAACACAAAATACAACCAAAAAACTGACATTTTAAATAATGTTATATAATAGAGGACGAACAACAATTGAGGGTTAAAATAATTAATGCTCCAAAGCAATTTCTTCAGAAAAATGTTATTTTTCGGCGCATTCGGTTTTCCTTATTAAAACGATACCGAATGTGTATTGAAGAAAATGGGGGCATTTTGAACATTTATTGTAATATATTTATAGAGGTTATAGACATTTTTTGTACTTGTTAATTCATGTAAGCCATTTATTTATTTGCACGCAATTTTTTAAAGGTTAGTGAAAAGGGCCGTAACTCAATAAAAACTGTTTTTTTTTAAAAAGTAATAAAAAGCAAAAAATATTTAAAAATAATGTTGTAAACTAATGATGCCCCAAAATTCAGTTGATTTAAACGTACTCAAAAGTTTGGGGGTTTTGTTGTTTCTTTTTTATGAAAAATGCTTTCAGAACAAGAAAGTAACGTGTCCATTTTTATTACAAAATGTCAAGTAGTTAGGAGATAATGCAAAAAAACAATTTTTATTTTGTAACTTTAAAGAGCTGTAACTTTTTGTGTACACTTTTGTACTAAGGTAAGTTGGATTCAATCGATTTATTTTTGTCCCCGGAATTGGTGATTTATTTATGACATACCTTTTTAAAACACCCTGTATATCAGGGTATCACATGCAGCAACTTTAATTAGTTTATAAGTTTTTTATACAATTTGCAATTTATTAAAATTTTGCCATGGTTTGTTTATTTTATTATCTTTTATTTTGTGCTAATGATGATTTATGCAATTTCTCTAAATTTTAAATTGTTATTAACCCCCTCTGTGGCTCAGTGGTAAGAGCGCCTACCTTTCAACCTAAAGGTCGTGAGTTCGAATCTCACCTGGGTGGAAATTTTCGTTTATTAAAAATTAATAAATGAAAATAATTTCTATCCTTGTGCGATCGGTACTCACCGGAGGGACCGCAGACATTCGGATACAATTAGCGTCTCTTACCAAAGACAATGACGTCGACTTTGCTAAGTATCAAGACATTTACTCTACACATACACACACGCGCGCAATACACGCCTGACTGTAAAAATTCACTGTACCATGCCAATGACCATTAGTTGTCGACGCATTAAACTCAATAAAAAAAATGTTATTGTTAGTTTTCTGACTTTATGTAAGCTTTGTCCAAAAAATTATATAATTTTTAGTGACAATAAAGCATATTTCTATTCTATTCTAACACATGTATTTATCTACATAATTTATATATTTCTTTTACATAATTTTTATTTATTATATTATTTAAAAAGGCTAGCATATTTAAACAATTAAACTAATTTAAGCAAAGTGCGTAATATACACCTTTTTGGTTAAAAAAAAAAATACAACAGTTTCTTCAGTCTGAAAATGTTTTTCCAGACTTATTTCAATAATTACAAGATGATGTCAAAAACGCAGTGGTTTGTTCTTCTTTGTCTATTCATTCTGTATTTGCTCTTAGGAGCATCTATCTTTTACTATGTCGAATCTCAAGAAGAACTTCTTAAACACAATTCCGAAGTTAGGGAAAGGCGAAACATTGAAGGTCAGTATTTTTAAATTTATCTAACTAAAGCAAAATAAAGCTAAAGTACTTTTGAAACCATGCACGTATAAACATAGATGGACACAGCAATAAGATACCTTTATCACACAATGTTTTGAAGCTTCGATAGAATCAGGTCTTTATAGAAAAATTAAAATACAATTTTATTTGCTTTAATATTAATACAATTAAATATAGTTGAATTTAAGTTAATTTTTTAATAGGTATCAAAATAATGCTACAATAAAAAATCTTTATGTTTTTTCAACGAAAAAACATAAAGATCGAACAAATAGTTCGATCGTCAATATTATTTGGAAACCTACATAGAAAAACAAATGAGTTTTAATCATTTCACTAATTTATTTGTATCCATGAGAAATATTAAATTAAAAAGGTACTAAACAGATCTTTTTTAATCAGATGATGTCTACTTACAATTTAAAAATGTCTACTAATTTCATGAACTCATATCTTATTCAATGCATTAATGAACATGAATAAACCCTATGGTACGCCTATTAAAATGTAAACAAACACGCTTCCTCATTTCCTCATTTTAAATATTGTAAATTGTATCTACTAACAAATGAAATGAGAAATCGGGATGTAAATATTTCGTTTATTTATTTCACTTTTCACAAATATCACTCAAAATACAGCCAAAATATCGAAAAACAACTTTTCCTCATCTACTGTAAAAAGTAAACAAGCATGGAACAGCATTTGAAGTTTGACGTAGATCCATAAGACAGAAAAATGTAAACAACCGTTGCCATTTATAAAGTTTTCAGTGCTTCTACATATAAAATAATTGATTAATATCTATTATACGCTAATATTAAATGATAATGCACACTATGTGCACACTTGATATTTTGATTACAATTAAATATATTAATCTAACCAATAAATTATTATTTTGGTTTGATAGCACCTGTAGAGTATAAAATACGGAGTAATATTTTCAGCGACTCGCGAATAAGAAATTTTAAATCAAAACGTGACAACAGTTGAAGGTGTTAAGAATGTGACCTATTCAAATAATTTTGACTACACACTTTTATGTAAATAACTGGGTCCATCTGTGTTTATACGTCCATGTTTGAAACCATATATTTCTTTGGTTATTTATATGCTGTTCTCATCTTTAAATAATTATTATCATAATATACACTGTAACGTGTTAAAATTACGGTTGTTATACCTGGTTCAAATTAAGATTATTTTATTAAATTTTATAAAATCGCCATGTATGTAATTTTAAGTTTTCTAAAAATTCTATCACGAAATATCATTCTTAGGTTCATCAGTGTGTCTTTTTTTAAAATCCCTTAAAGGAAGTACCGAAATGTGTGCCACTAAATGAACTAAAGTTCATTTTTTACCAAACACAGAAACACAAAAGTAACGGTATCTTTCCTATGTAAATATTTTTCTATAAAAAAGAATATATTTTCAACTTTATTTTATTTTTTTCTGAATAAGATGTAGTTGAAGGTCGACTATTGTGTTTTTGAGAGTGTCACCCTGTCGCAGAGTAAGATATTTTTTCACAACTTTTTGTACTTATTTACATTTTTATCATCTGTTACTAGAATTTTTATCTAATTAGGATCCAGAGTTAGTTCCAAAATAGTCTCAGTAGTTGATTCCCAAGTTAATCCCAAGGTAGT